CCTCTTCTTGGTTCGGTTAGTACTATTGTCCTAGGCCTCCCAAATTTCCATTATTGTTGTAGTTGTTGTTATTGTTGGCATAATTATAACGATTATTTTGTTGTTGTTGTTGCTGCTGCTGCTGTTGTTGTTGCAGTTGATTGGCCAAATTCAGGGCATTCTGACCATAGCGATCGTTGTAGGTTTGATGATTCAGAGGGTTGTTATCATAATTCCGATTACCATAACGATCATTCTGCAGAGTCTGGGTGTTGTAGACATTTTTATCACTGAACGGCGAATCCGAGGGAAAGGTGAAATTCGAACGATAATTGAAACCGTAACGCATTCGCTCATCGTAGGTTTGACCATTCTGGAAGGGAGATTTTGGTTTTAATTTTTTTCTGAAAGACAAATTGTGGAGATGTGAGGTTGACTTACCCTAAAATCATCTGAACCATCATCATTATTGCCATCATCCGCATAGGGTGGCCCGAATCGTTGATCTCGATCTAAATCACCTAAGGCCTGGGCGGGTGTTGTTGATACTGTATAGCCATTGTAGAAAATCTGTGGTCTTGGGGTGGGCAGAGGTGGTAGATCCAGTTGGGCATGAGCTATGGCATATACCGGACACGACAAGGTCCATATGAGGCCCACAAAAAATTTCAAATATTTTGGGAACATTTTAAACTAACCAGAAAAAATGTGGAAGGAGAAAAAAAATAATTTTTAAAAATATTTTCAAGGGTATCTGAGACATGGATGTACTAAAAAATATTTTTGGGGATCATCCTCAAGGCTTGGATTTATTAAAAAATATATTTTTGGGTGGCGTAGGGGATGATAGATACCAAGCAACGGCTCCAATTGGCTTAAACATGGCGAAGTCCAGGCTTATCTTTCATCTCAATTGTGGACACTGACCTCCCGCGGTGCCACCTGGTGTAGCTATGTTCATCACCCGATGATATAGTGAGCTAATATGTGCCGCGAGTTCACCCATAAGGACTAGAAAAAATGGGTTGAGGCGTCGGGTTAGTTGCCCACTCTGGGAAAACCCCTCTTACTATGAAAAAGCAAAGAAAAAGAAAACCAAACCTCCCTACTTTTGACGACTCCCGCAAGCGTATAAAGGACCACGATCTTTGAATCTGCACTTGGAATGTGCGTACGTTGTGCGCAGAACAGGCGCAGTGTTCGCTTTGGCGGATGTACTCAAGAAGTACAAAGTCGATATTTTTGCCTTACGGGAAATGCGATGGAAAGGGACTGGCGTAAGTAAATCAGATGATTACGCCCTGTATTATAGCTGTCATGAAACGAGACGTGAATTTGGCTGACGATTTGTGGATAACAGGATAATAAAAGACCTCGTCTCCAGATTCACTCCAGTAGATGGGCGAATTTCTGTAATCCGTATAAAAGCGAAGTTCTTCTACAACAGTTTCATATGCGCCCATGTTCCGACCGAAGATAAAGATGACCAGACCAAAGACATATTTTACGAGTACCTAGAAACAGCATATGATCGTTGCCCTGGCCATGACATTAAAATTCTGCTAGGAGATTTTAATGCAAAAATCGGAAGGGAAAATATCTTGTGCCCCACCATCGGAAAATTCAGCCTCCATGAAGAAACATCAGACAACGGCATGAAACATCAGACAACGGCAGCAAAAACATAGCGGCTAGCAGCACCAGATTCAAGCATCTCGATATACTCAAGGCCACTTGGATTTCTCCCGATCAAACAAGGAGAAATCAAATCGATCATGTTGTGATAGACAGGATGCATTCATCCAATATTTCAGACATCCGATCGAACCGGGGAGCGAATATCCATTTGGATCTTTACCTTGTGGCAGCCAAGGTACGCACCCGTCGTAATGTAGCAGCAAAGGTGCGATCTAACACAACACGGAAACTCGACGTCGAAAAGCTGCATACACAACAGGTAGCAGAAGCCTACTCCGCTCAACTTACCCCAAAAACCGCCACCAAGAAACCCATGGTACGATCAGGAGTGTCGTAATGCTACTGATGTGAAAAACGCAGCGTACAGGGCAACCCTGCGGACAGTAGCAACGCGCAATATGATTGAAAATTATCGGGAGAAAACGAGAGAGGAGAAACGTATTTTCAGAAAAAAGAAGAAAGAACAAGAAAAACGTAAGCGTGAGCAAATCGAGATGTACAGGAGTCAGAATGAAGTCCGGAAATTTTACCAACGAGTAAAACGCCAAACCGAAGGCTTTGGTGCAGGCACACCCTCCTGTAGAGATAAAGAAGGAAACCTGGTGACAGATACAGACAGCGAGCTGAGGATCTGGAAAGAACATTTTGAAAAACTTCTGGTATCAAATAGTAGCGGTGAAGAGGATGCCCCAGAACCAGTAACGGTATAGAGTGTATACCACCTAGCTAAGATGAAGTCAGGATAACTATCAATCGGCTGAAGAATAATAAAGCAGCAGGTGCCGATGGGTTACAAGCCGAACTATTCAAGACTTGCGGTCAGATGCTGTTAAGGAGCATGTACCAGCTGATTAGAACAATTTGGCTAGAAGAATGCATGCCCAATGATTGGAACCTCAGCATCATGTGTCCCTTGCACAAAAAGGAGACAATACGATATGTGCCAACTATAGAGGAATACGTATCCTTTCCATCGCATATAAAGTACTATCCAGTGTACTGTGTGAACGACTGAAGCCAATGGTCAATGACATTATTGAACCATACCAATGCGGTTTCAGACCTGGCAAATCCACCATTGACGAGATTTTCACTCTGCGCCAAATCCTATTCGTCGACTATAATTCGTTCACCTATTCGTCGACTAGCTATCCAGCGTACTATGTGAACGATTGAAGCCAATGGTCAATGATATTATTAGACCATACCAATGCGGCTTCAGACCTGGCAAATCCACCATTTACGAGATTTTCACTCTGCGCCAAATCCTATTCGTCGATTATAATTCGTCCACCTATTCATCGACTATAAGGCCGCATTCGACAGCCCTATCCTCTCAGATTTGTATAAAGCCATGTCTGCGTTTGGCATTCCTGCAAAATTAATTCAGCTATGCAGGATAACTTTAACTGGCACAAGATCAGCAGTTAAAATCGGAAAGTACCTCTCGGAGCCCCTTAATACCGAACGAGGATTCAGACAGGGTGACAGTTTGTCGTGTGACCTTTTTAATATCCTGCTGGAAAAGGTGAACAGAAGGCACTCTCTATACCAAATAACACATGTTACTCGCCTACACCGATGACATCGACATCATGAGTCGAACATTGAGAGCGGTAACAGCCACCCTTGAACAAATTGAGAAGGATTCTACCAAAGTTGGTCTGGCAGTAAACCGCCGTTTAGAAGACCAAGCTGATGGTATCAACGCGCAAGACGTCCAGTAGACTCGGACCAACTGTGGAATTTGAGAACTACAGCTTCGAGGTAGTCAACGATTTTATATGCCTTAGTACCGCCATAAATAAAACGAATGACATCAGTTTTGAAATTCGGAGAAGGATAGTGATGGCCAACAGATGTTACTATGGTCTGAGTAAGCAACTCAAACGCAAGGCCACCTCCCGCCAGACGACCTCTCGCCAGACCAAACTCACACTCTACAAGACGCTCATATTACCCCTGCTATTATATGGATCTGAAGCATGGGTTTGAGTGTTTGAGAGAAAAAATTCTCCGAAAGATCTATGGACCGATCTGCGTTGACGGTGAATATCGCCGTCGAATGACCCATGAGCTGTGCCAGCTATTTTCGGACATCGACATTGTTAGAATATTGAGCCGCATCGACTACGTTGGCTAGGTCATGTTGTGAGAATGGATGAAGATGCTCCAGCCTAGAAGGCATATAAAAGCGAACCAGCTGATGGTTCATGCAGCAGGGGGAAGGCCACGAATACGATGGAAATATCAAGTGGAAGACAACATTGCCGAAAATGGTCTATCAAATTGGAAAAACTGCGCAAAAGACCGACGCGCCTGGAAATCTTTTCTAAGCTCGGCTTATGGAACGAAAGTTCTGTCACAAGCCAGCTAAGTAAGTAAGGCGTGGATTTATTAAAAAATATATTTTTGGGGACCTAAACTAGGCTTGGATTTATTAAAAAATATATTTTTGGGAACCTAAAAAGCGTGGATATATTAAAAAATATTTTTTTCAATTTTCTCTCTTAAAATTTTCCACTTTGTTATTTTTCTTTGTCTTCGAATTTCAGAAAAAAATTGACAGCTGTGAAAATGGCCATAAAAACAGAAACAATCGATGTATTCCCATAAACTTCACAAAAAAAGCCCATAAAAAAGTCACACAACTCAAATGAATAGCCGGCTGGTTGGCGGGCTGCCTGCCTGGCTGGCTTTGGTTCTGCCTTGTCTGTTTAGCCCACCATTAGTTGACGGCAATGCAGTTATAACCTTCATAGTTGGTTAAATAAACATGTCAATTTCACAGCTACTTAGAAAATGTAAACATTTGTTTTTCGATTTGGTTCCGAAACAAGGGATTTGATTGTTTTCTTGTGGATGGAAGAAAGAATAAACAAAGAAGTATGATGGAAAAAAGTGAGAAAATTAAAGAAACAAAATAATGGGTCAAATATTTGAAGAATGAGTAACAAACACTTTCTTCGAAAGAAATTTGAAAAATATTAAAAAACAATACCAAAATGTTTTTTAAAAAATCCACGCCTATGGAGGAGGAAGCCCAAAAATATATCCACGCCTATGGAGGAAGCCCATAAATATATCCACACCTATGGAGGAAGCCCAAAAATATATCCACGCCTATGGAAGAAGCCCATAAATATATCCACACCTATGGAGGAAGCCCAAAAATATATCCAGGCCTACAGAGGAAGCCCAAAAATATTTTTTAAAAAATCCACGCCTATGGAGGAAGACCAAAAATATTTTTTAACCAGTAAGGAAAGTTTAATAGTGGGACGGAGCAGACTATATGATACCCTTCGCCACTTTGGATACATACTAGAGATGCTAATATATACAATATCCTGTAGATAGAACAGACAGACATACCCTTTAGAGGACCATTGAAATGGTATGGGGTGAAACTAAATGTGTGATCTACATAGATATTTGAACCAATTAAAACGCCATGCTCATACCATTCTAAAATCGATGAAAAATTGTATTTCAATCGGATTCTTATGTGTACCATTTGTATTAAAAAGAGCAAAATAATGTATGTGGAGCTATATGCAAATCTGGTGCACCATGTACCAAAAATCGAACGAAACTATATATGGGAGCTCTATCTAAATCTGAAACGATTTTCACAAAACGTCGTATACATTAATATGGACCTATCTCAATTGCCAAATTTTGTATTAATCGTATAATCCTTGGGACTTTGTTGCACCATTTCCAAAAAAAAACAAATCGGTATAGGGGAGCTACAGGGTTGCCCATATTCGACGGACCCATCTGGCAACGCCATAACTTTTGACAGAGATGTCACATCGCTTAATGACATACCGCGTTTGAAGCGTCAGTCCAAGCAGATTTTTACCATGAACCAATACACGCCACGCGAGCCCTCTGAAATAGTTGAAATTTACATTCAACAGAAGAAGACAATTGTGAAAACTCAACGTGCTTTTAAAACATTAAAAAATGTGAGAAGTGCGCCT